ATACAGTTGTCTGGGAAGAGTGGCTGGATACTCCAGTGAGAGTACAATGACCCTGCTTGGGCCCTCCTTAATGAATAAGCACAACGGTCAACAAGCCCAATTGTGATGATGTTTAGTGATCAGGCTCAGCTGAAGTCATGATGATGGTAGTTATTTCATGCATAAGGGACTGCTATATAGCATCATCTTATTAGTAGGATCTAGAATTTAAAAGGATTTGGTGCTAGAATCCACATATGAGGGAGAGCATATGTCATTTGTTTTTCTGAGTCTGTGTTACTCACTTAGTATAACAGTTTCTAGATCCATCCATTTACCTGCAAATTTTATTATTTCATCTTTCTGCAGAATTCTTTTCTTTTACCACTTGATACCTGTTATACTGTGAAGATTATTTGAGTTTTAAATTACAGGATACTTTTTAAATAAACATTATTTTGAAAAATGATTACCACATTTCATACGTTTGAGTGTTAAGAATGTCAGAGGTTGTTGGATATTTGGAAAGTGAAATAAGTTGATTTATGATTTTCTTTCTTCTCTGAATGGCCACTGACAGTATGCCTTCTTTCCTGTGACTTGGTAAGCTTCCTTTTAATGTTTCCTTCCCAGCCTTTAGTGAGCTACCAGTTTCCTCATCAGAACATTTTTTGCATTTGCAAATTGGTTCCCAGAGTCAGGACCTGGTACCATATTATACTGTGGTAAGTTCCTCCTAATAGGACAGTAAAGCAGAGAGAAGGGAGCTCGGTAGAATGACTTGGTACTGCTCACCTAACTTTCATTCCAAGGTGTTGCCATTGTGCCAACTCAACAGAGCTTTGACCCCATCCTCAAGTAACAGGAGGGGTTCAAAGGGAGGGTTTGGTTCTTTGTGAAATGGTGCAGACATTCCTAGCTGATACTGAGGCTGTTACAGGCTATGGAAACTTTCAGGCTGACCTGGGTTACTAAGATACTGAAAACCTACTGCCCAGAAACAAGTCCAGGGAGGACTAGTGCATAGCAGTACTCCTTGCTTCCACTTGGCCACAATGGTGTGTCTGTGCTCCTTTTTGTGATGTCAGATATCTCTTGGAGAGCCTTAGGCAGTCAGCTTGCACACACATCAGCTTTCCTTGCTCCTGTGCTGCAATGTGTGGGAATTTGGGCATCTTAGAGGAAAGACTGCTGAATCATTGCTGCTGTGTGTCATCCTGCTCGCATTCTCACATTTTCTCGTCTTGGGTTATGAAAGTGATCTGAATTTTGAAAGTTTATAAAATATAAAGAAACCACCACTCTCATCTCTATAGCAACCTTGGTTAAAATTACAAAATTAATGTTTGCTATCATGAGTTCCACATATTATAGTTTACCTAGTTGAAATCGGGCTATAAATGAATTTTAATTTTTTAAAATATTCACACTTCTTTTTTTTTCATTTGTTTAAAAAGTTCTCTACGCTACGGGGTCGTATTTCTGAGAATATAGTAAGTCACAGAGTTATGGGAAATGTACTTTATTTATTGAATTTTTCAAGTGATATAAATGAAAATTTCTCCATTGTGGTAAAAGACATGTCATATTATCTCCCTTCAAATAAAGTGATTAAGTATCTGCCTATAAATAAATGGCTGCTCAGCTCACTGAGACATCCCTGATGACAGCTCAGTTTCCTCTCATGTTTTGTCATAAGTACGGGACAGTATTTCTTGACCTTGGGTAACTAACCCTCTGAGAATTCAGTGAAAGCTGTGAACCTTTCTTTGTGGAGAATTGCATATTCATGCCAAAAACCTAATTGTAATGATAATCACTTATGATATGTGAGGCAGCCTGCCAGCTGCTTTACATATGTTACTTGGTTTAATCTGCACCATCACACTATATGGAATGCTCTGTTACTCTCCTCATTTTTGACTTAAAGATTTTTGGACATAAACAGGTTATAATCTGTGTAAGCCTGGGAGCTAGTGAGTAAAGAACTGGGGCTCCAGTTCTGACTTTTATAACCCCTGACTCTTTAAAATCATGGTACCTGTTATTATAGGGAGTCCATTAATTTGTAAGCTTGTAAACTAATATCAAAGTTAAGAATATGTAACAATGCCAGAGGAGACTTTTGTTGTCAGTGATGATATATGTGGCTAAGGAATCTTGCTTTTTGTATAATGTAGTTAATTAAAATATAGTTTTTGTTGAGCAGATACTGTTTTGATTACTAAGTTTTGTGATGTGCTCTTTTATTTATCCCTAAGGAGTTTGCTGTCTACATGAGCAGATAAATATTATAAGCCTAGGGGTGTAGCTCAGTGATAAATTTCTTGCCTAGCTTATCAAAGGCTCTGGGTTCAATGTCCAGCACTGGGGAAAAGTTTTTTTTTTAAAAGAATTATGTATGTGAAGCAGTGAGAAAAATTACAAATATGAAGCTGAATATACAGTAATTAGACATTTCCATAAGTGGTTTGTGAGGATTCATCTCTTGGCTTAGTTGTACCTGATACAATTTCCATCCTCTTGATTTATAAAATGATAAATCAAAATCCACCATCTCCTTTTTGAACTGGAAGATTCAGTATGTTGTAAAAATCTGGTCTGTGAAGTGACTGAGCACTCCACATGCATCATAGCCAGACTCCTAGTAGGTTTGTCTCTTATCTCAGGGAGCATGCACAGCAAGGACGGACATGAAAGCAAAACCCAAGCCTTCCAGTGATGCTTCATGGGGAATTCTGTTGAGTTGGACCTAGGTAGAACCACAGGACATCTTGAGAATTAGGCCGTTTGGCTCAAGCAAGGTTCCTTCCATTAGGTCTTCAAGTGCGTTAAATGAGGCAGTTTTGGCTTGACTGCTAAGTACTTATCTTTCAACCTTTGAGGAAGCTTAGCATAGGAAGTGTGCATGAACTGACCACTTAACAAGGCCTGAACCTACAATTCAAAGGACTTCTTTCAACAAGAGCATAGTGTGGAACTATAGCATGATGGGAATAGATGGCTCCTGTGCACAAATTATCAGATGAAATGTTTGCTGCCAATATAGAGGATGGGCTGTGTCAAGCTTTCTGTTAATACACCTTTCACCAAAAGCTTGTACAGCTTTAGAACTTTTATCTTTTAACTGACTTCTTCAGGAAACCCTTATTCAGGACTGTGATAGTCAGTTTGCAAAAAGTACAGCTATAGATTAATGCAATGTAGTGTCAATTAGATGTACATTTCTGAGGTCTTTTATCTATTGTAGCTTTTTCCTTTTCTTTTCATCACATCAAGTATATTGCCCTGTAAGCTGTGGTAGTGGTACCAGGAATAGAAATTTAAGTAATTTTTAACTTTTCAACCCCCGACCCCCACAAAAAGGCCTCTTAGGCCTTCTTTAAGATGAAATTGTTTTCTAAGTTGCATGTGACTTTTTATTTTCATAGCATGCAGGTAATTTACTATTGCAACTCTGATCAGAGTTCACCTCCTTCCTTATGCATCATTTTTATTTGAAATATCTGAATAAGAGAATTTTGTAAGCAGGTGCACAGCATGTTTGTACTATATTTAAATTAGTTTAATATATTGATTTATATTTTAGCTCATAATGTTTTCATATCTCTACAATCTTGGTCGCTGGCATTTTTAAGACACTGAGACAACTGTTATGCTTAAGCCCTTGTTTCAAAATCTAAAAGAGAGAGAAAGAGGAGGAAAGAAGCTCCAATTATTGTTTATAAATAATCCTTTGATTTATCCAGTATAGATAATTGATTTTCCAATTTGATATGAAAAATAGAAGAATATTATAAAAGTTCTATAGGTTTTTAAAATTTAGTCTTGGGGAATCTATATTTGAAAGGATAATACTTCCTTTTATATTTGCTTTGTAGATGCATTTAAGCTCTTTTTGAGATAATAAATTGATAATAAGTACTCATCACACTTTGGCTACAGAAAAAGAATTAAGACATAGTAACTGTGCTTGTCCATCTCTTGAATTTGCTCTGTGCTAGCAGGTGTGTATGGAGGGAACTTCAGACCTTTTGATTTCTTAATAAGCAGAGCTCTGGGACAATAAAACTTAACATTCTTACTTTTTACTAGTATTTGTCCCTATGGTCCTGTGCAGTTATCTTCTTGTTAATGACATGGAAGCCAGAATCATAAAGGGAGCATGGACTCAAGGTGCTACTGTAAATTACAAATGGCATTCATAGAGTCTCTTCAGCCTAATAGGAAACGGAGGTGGAGGGAAGAGGACAGAAATGTAAAAGTACAATGAAAATGAAAGTCAGGGACAAAGACTCCAACTCCACTGGACAGACAAATGTGTACAAATGTCTCTTAGGTTTTGCAGTGAGATTCATTTGGGTGGACAACTTCATATCTGTAAATATTTCTTTGCTCTTTTGAGCCCAATTCTGTATCAGGACAGCTGGTGGTGGTGTGCATGTGTGTGTGTACGCATGTGTGCATTTGCGTTTACACGCCTGTGTTTTGGGGAGGGTTGGCACTTGTGAGATAATATAAATCACCAGTGAGGGAATACTTAATGATGTGGCAGGGAATATTTTTTGATAAATGCTTAGGGAATGAGGTGACAAGCGTGAAATTGGAAAATTCCTTCCATGATCTAAAACATAAATAGCTTTCAGAACTGAAAAGAGTTTCACAGCTGAAGATTTTATTGTGTTGAGAGGAGAAAGTTTTCTCTTACCCCCTCCCTCCTTTCTTTGCAAGTTGTTTGGCCATTCACAAAACAAATACTCCGAAGCCCAGCACTGCTCATGGGAATAAATTTCAGGTCGAATTAGTACAGTTTCCTTGCTGTCAGGATGCTGGAATTAATGGTGTTTTGATGACACGAATTTTGAAGGGCCAACAAAGAAGCTGACGGGAGAGAGACATGACTCCTTAGAAGCTCGGTCCTCCTCTCCCCCAGCCTCTCTTGTCTTCCCTGTCATCCGTCTGCCAATCTCCCTGTCCATGGTTAGTTAAAGGCGCTTTTTATCCTCTTTTCTTTCCCACAGAGTTTGCCAGATCCGGCCCGGTGCCTGGGTTCCAGGAGGACACGCTGCAGTTGGCCTTCATCGACTTGAGACAAGTAAGTCTTTGTGTTTTTGTTTTGTGTTTTTCTTTTAAGATGTGTGACTGAAGACCATCAGGTCTTAAGGAAAAGAGGAGGGGAGGGGGGGTTGGCATTGGTGATTCACACTAGAGACCTAAGGGCTTTTCCCTGTGTTTGAGGCTACCTCTTTTATTTAGCTATCTGAGATCCTTAGCTATGGTGGAGTAAAGGTTTTGTGAGTAGATGGGAAGGCAGGGGGTAGGAGGGGGATCCAGAAAGTAGAGGGACTCAAGTGACCCTCAAGTGATGTGATCCATTGTATGGCAGTTGACTTCTGCAGACACAGCAAAAAGATAACTCGTTAAACCCATGCTAAGCAGGTGCACTGATGCAGAGACTGCTGCCCAGAGAACTTTTGTGTGTGGATAATGTGGCCAGCAGCATTGAAGGGAAATGAAATGTTTTGCTTTCTGGGTTGTTGGTTTGGTGTGTTGACTTCCCTGCCGCCTCGTGTCTTCCATTGCTTCCTTTATAGAATACAATCAGCCACCAGTGACATACTGGTGGTGCTTAAAGATGATTTTCAAAGGCCCTTACCAGTCATGCTAACTGGACAGGAAATCCTGTAACAGGATTCCTGATAAAGGCTGGTACTTAGGCCTACCTGAGTTTTGGCAAGCCCACTAGATGGACATCCCATGGGGCTGTTCTTGCAGACTAGAAAGAGTGGGTTGGTAGGTCCTGGTAGTTTGGGTATAGTGAAGCAAGATGGGTGGGGGCCAAGAGGGAGAGCTTTAACTGGACTCTGTCATCTCTTCACTGCTAAGATGAATGGGGTCCGATAGAAAGTGTGAATGAAGTTAGCATCAATGACTGATGCTTCTCTCCTATTAAAACAATCTTTTTTTGTCTGTTTTAGAAGGGGGCTGGCTTTGTTTCTCCTGCCATAATGATGCAGTACCTCCTGTTTTCAGAGCTGACATAGTTTGCATTCGGAAAACTTGTAGATGCCCAGGGTGTTTCTTAAAGCCATAGGACCCCTTGTATTGGTAGCCTCCTTACCACTGTGACTGGATTTATGCCGTAACAGCTTTTAACCCGTAATGGATGGCCCAATCTAGCCCTGGACCCTTGCAGATGGGTGGTGTAATCTGTCACTGATGACAATTCCGGAAAGCCCTGTTCAGCAGAAAATGGAATCATGTGTCTACAGACCCGCCAAGGTTTGAGGATTCAGGCCATGTTCCAGAAACGTGTGTCAACTTAATATTTGGGGGCTGGGTTGGGGGTTCTCATCCACATAAAGGCTTTCCTAGCATGATCAAAAATGGGGCTGTCTCTTCCCACACTGAATACCTTCCACCTGTAGATTTGAGACAAATAAGTTTTAATCCTTTGATGTAAAATGAAAAGATTGAGATTTTGCTTTAGGGTTTGTTGGGGTTGCATCTGGTGGATCTGTCTACTCCTTCCCCAATTAGTTCTCAGAAACCTGTAAGCCAGTTTGCTTTTCTTAGAAAACAGATTTTATTGATTTTCATTGGAAAAACATATCCAAGAAAAATTTGTTCCTTTCTCACTATTCATGCAGAGGCATTGTGGTCACTCTGACTAGTTTTTGGTTTTGGTCCCTATAGAAAGCAACTGAGGGGTAAATGGGCAAGCACGGACAGGGCAAGAGCGGGTCTGAGCCTGGAGAATGCCCAAGTGCTTGTAAGTAGCACTGTGGCTGCTGAAGTTCCCATTTGTATTGCAATCCTGTTCCTAGGGTTTCTTTTATGATATTTAAATGGTAAAAACCCAAACTACAAAAATTTACTGATAATGACAGACTCTCTCTTTCTATTGAATCTGTCATCTAAAATTCTACTTATATCTGTCTCTCTTAAAGCAGTTGGAAAGGAATAATTTTCCAACTTGGATGATCTGAACAACTTATTTAACTTTGAGATGCTATTAGTAGGTAGGTTGACTCACTGTGAAGCAATGAGCCTTTTACATCCTGTGTTGAAAACATTTATCTCTGTCAATGCAGCTAGGCTGTTCTCAGCAGTTATTTAAAGAAGGCTTCTGAAACATAGAAATGTTAAACTACAAGGAGAATACCTGGGTATATGTTACCAGGGGTGACTGCTTGATGCAAATGAGGCATGGTTAAGTGTCCCTATAGCATGTACTCCTTAGAATCCTAGAATCGAATTTTAAAATTTTGAGTTGGATGTCTTAAAATTTGCATAGTAAGAACTTTGGCTTGCTCCTTAAGCCCTTGTACAGCACCCAGACTGTGCTTCAATATCTTCCATGAGGAAAGCTCTACTCCAAAGTAACAAGTGTACCTTCATGCAGTCTGATTATTATGTAGATATTTTCCTCAGTTGACCAAAAATCTGCCTCTATGCTTGTGCTTTGACCCTGTTTTCATTGTCTGCTTGTTTGGGGGAGTAATGGGCTTTCTGTTTCTTGTGTTCAAGGTGCCCCTTTGCTGGTACTTGAGTCTTTTCCACATGTAGTCATGCTTCGTGCTCCTCATCTGGTCTTTGTAGGACTGATTTAATGGACTAAACATGGAGATTTTACTCTCCTTAGTCCTATTTCCTTTCAGGTATATCAGCAGCACAGATTTTATCATTCTCAAATGATTGTCTAAACCTTTGTAGATCCTGATTCCGTTATCTAATTTATTGACTGATTTAATTATTAGACTTTTATAAGTCTATCAGAACATTAAATGGAAATAGCATTGGCTGGTGAAATGGCTCTGCAGGTAGAACATTTGCCACCAAAGCCTATCTGAGTTTGATTCCTCAAAACCACATAAAGATGGAAAGAGAAAACTAACTTCACACAGTTGCCCTCCAACCTCCACTGTGGTAAGCATAACCGCCCCCAACATACACACAAATAATAATAATAGAGTGTAATAATAATATTAATGTTAATAATAATTAATAAACATTTTAAAAACTTTTAATGGAAATAGAAGTCCCTATGTGTGACTTTTCCTGTGGACATCATAAGAAGTCTATTTACCCAAGATAGATCACCAACAGACCAAAAAAATGATTCCACCCAAGTTTAGCTTGACAAACCAGTGAGTTCAGTTGGAGTTACCTCCAGGGACATGAATGAGGGGCTGCTTACAGGGAGCTTGGGCAATGTAAAGCAGCTGCGGAAGAGTTGCCTCCCTCCCACACACCAGCAGTTGTACACAAGGAACATGTCCTCAGAGAGAGTATGTGAATAGGCCCAGCCTTGTGATGGTCTCCTGTGGGTAATGGTAGGTGCTGTGATTTCAAGATACAACAGCCATGCCAGGCCCAAGCAGAGTTCCACACAAGGCAGAATGTAGGATGCATCCCCATGTAAAAAGGGATCAGCTTGTGTACTTTAGTAAAGCTGCCCTCCTACTGTCTGTCATTCAGACACTGACTGTGTCTGCCTCCCTGGCTTCTCCCTGCATCATTCTGATCATGCCTCATGTTCTCTTGTATTAGCGTTTCAGATGCAATCAAGTGAGTGATAATTTAAGGCATATTCAAAACATGGACTTTGACAAAAGCATCTATGTAGATTGTAATAGCAGAGTGTCATTTAAAAGCTCTGTGATGTCATTAGAAAGAAAATTAGATGTGGATACCAAGACTATTCATCCTTTTTCACTTGTTCTATTTCCATTTTCCTACTTCTTTTTTTTAAAAAATGTTTTCTTTATTATTTTTTATTTTGTATGTATGAGTGTATTGCATACTGCATATATATGAGTGCACCTGTGTCGTGCAATCACGTGGAGGTCAGAAGAGGGCTTCGGATTCCTCTGGAACTGGAGTTAAGGATGGTTCGTAGCCACCATGTGGGTGCTGGGAATTGAACCCAGGTGCTCTGCAAGAGCAGTCAGCGCTCTTAACCACTGAGCCATCTCTCCAGCCCCCATTTTTCTACTTCTTAAGGAAAAGAGTGAAATGACATTTTGAACATACAAGATTTCATGGTGCTTAACATTTGTATAGCATTTCAGAGTTAAATGCATTGACATACATATCTAATTTGTTAAGATTCCTAGGATTAGAAAACCTGCTATTAACAGTATGATTCAGACTGTGCAAATCAAAATCTCCTTTAATATTTCATATTCTCTGTATTATGTTATACAGGTAGGATTTAGTACAACTTTAAATGCAAAAATATGTGTATATTTCTATAAAAACTGAAGCTTGTGTTAATGAGGACAAATTAAATTCTCATTTCATTGACTGTTTTAAAATTTTTATTTATTTTTATTTTTATGTGTATGAGTGTATTGCCTGCATGTATGTGAGTGCACCTGTGTCGTGCAATGATGCAAAGGTCAGAAGAGGGCATCAGATTCCCCTGGAACTGGAGTTAAGAACAGTTCATAGCCACCATGTGGGTGTTGGGAATCGAATCCGGTTCCTCTGCAAGAGCAGTCAGTGGTCTCAACTGCTGAGCCATCTCTCCAGCCCTTCATTAACTGTTTTAAAGTGGTATCTACACCAGGAATTGGTGGCCTTTAAGGGTTTATAATTAGGAATTTTAGTATATTCTTTGTGGCACTTATTAACAGTTCTTGACTAAACATGAAGTAGATGATGCTTGTAAATGCCAGACTTTCATCTCAGTTCATCAACTCTGATTACCTGCTATGGGCACAGCCTAAGTGCTATGGAAACACACAAGTAGGTGTGAGTCCTTCCCAAAGGAGCAAATGGGTAACCAGCAAATCCTTGATTCTATTATGGCCAAGTTGTGATAAGTATTACTTTGGAACAATAAAACCATTGTATATATTTCATTTATTCCAGCCCACAACATATTGGCTTAAACTATTTACAAAGTTTGGGATTCTACTGATGAGTTATTCTCTTCTCATAAGTTGACAGCTCTCACCACACTGCAATCAGCTGCTGGACTGGTAAAAACCTGGCTGGTCTAGATGTCCTAGCTAGGCCTATGACCAACTTGTGTCCGCTCCTTGTGATCTTCTCAAGCACAGGCAGCCTGACTTAGACCTCTTCATA